CAAGCCTCCCCGGGGAGAGCATTCCACAAACAGGGAGCCACCACAGAGAAGGCCCTGTTCTTGTGTTGCCACCCTCAGGTCCTTTATGTGCAATAAATAAATAAAACAATTGCATCAATAAAGTCACATGGGAGAAGCTTGGTTTCTGTACAGCAACAACTCACTCTGTGTGTGTGTGTGTGTGTGTGTGTGTGTGTGTGTGTGTGCGCGCCTTGTACCATGAGCAGAAAGAGAGAGTGTCTTCTATGCCATGGGAAACTAAGCAACTAGGCAAACTAAGGCCCGGGGGTTGGATCCAGCCCAATTGCCTTCTCAATCCGGCCTGCAGACTGTCCAGGAATCAGCGTGTTTTTACATGAGTAGAATGTGTCCTTTTATTTAACATGCACCTCTGGGTTATTTATGGGGCATAGGAATTTGTTCTTCCCCCAAAAAAAATATAGTCCGGCCCCCCACAAGGTCTGAGGCACAGTGGACTGGCCCCTTGGCAAAAAAGCTTGCTGACCCCTGTTATGCCTTCTGCAGACATAGCAATTTCCCTTAACATTTCAGCTCTCCCTGTCTGAAGAGGGACCTGGAGACAACTCCAAAGTCAAAACTCACCCTGAAAGTCTTAAGGCGGAGAGCTCTCTGGCCTTAAAAACTGTCTCAGGCCCCCCTCCTACACAAGACTTTCTGAGCAACAGGGCGAATGAATCGGTGTGTGAGGCAAAAACAGCGGGAGTGCAATGAGCACCTCACGATGGCGCAGGGCCTGAGCTGTTCTCACAAACGGTGAAAAGAGATTATAGATGAAAGGAAATATTTAACCATCAAGTTTTTTTGCGGGGAGGGGTGGAGGGAAACATTTGGTGTGAAAATACTTGTTATTGGGGGAAAGGCTTTGATGCCCGCAGAGAGTCTGTTAGATCTGCTCAGAAAGGCAGAGTCGGCGTAACGCAGCTGCCCCCACTGGCTCGCGGTGCTGTAATCAGAGTATTTAAAGCCTCCTTTTTCCTCCTCAGCTTTCCTCCCATTTGTTTCCGAGTCTCAGATTTTGTATAATCTCGTTTTTCATTGCACCCCCCCCCCAAAAAAAACCCTATTTTATTACAGTGGTGCCTCGCAAGACGAAATTAATTCGTTCCGCAAGTTTTGTCGTCTTGCGATTTTTTTCGTCTTGCGAAGCACGGTGTCGGAAAAGTTTTGGAAAAGCTTCAAAAATCACCAAAGTCTTCAAAAACCTCAAAAAAGGCTACCACACCGCGTGCTATGAGTTGCTCCTCGAAGTCAAGTCGCAACTGTATTAACGGTGTTAAGAAAAAGGAAGCAAACTTGCAAGACGTTTCCGTCTTGCGGAGCAAGCCCATAGGGAAAATCGTCTTGCGAAGCAGCTCAAAAAACAAAAAACCCTTTCGTCTTGCGAGGCATTCGTCTTGCTTGGTACCACTGTACTATTCTTTTTAATTTAGGCTGCACATATGACTCAGAAACCTCTATGTTGAGGGCAGTAAGGGGACCAGAGACCACAGTTCGTCAGCTTGGACCAAACAGCGATGTCATAATTCATTGTCATCCCATAAAAATTGGGCATGATGTAGACAGAGACAGCCTTATCCTTGTACAAGTTGCTTTGCAGCATCGAACAAATAAAAAAAGAAGGGTCCCTTCGCCATTTAAGTTACAGTCTAAATTAGTGGTTTCTAAAGTTGGTGGTACGGGACGTGGGTGGCACTGTGGGTTAAACCACAGAGCCTAGGACTTGCCGATCAGAAGGTCGGCAGTTCAAATCCCCGCAATGGGGTAAGCTCCCGTTGCTCGGTCCCTGCTCCTGCCAACCTAGCAGTTCGAAAGCACGTCAAAGTGCAAGTAGATAAATAGGTACCGCTCTGGTGGGAAGGTAAATGGCGTTTCCGTGCGCTGCTCTGTTTCGCCAGAAGCGGCTTAGTCATGCTGGCCACATGACCCAGAAGCTGTACGCTGGCTCCTTCGGCCAATAAAGCGAGATGAGCACCGCAACCCCAAAGTCGTCTGCGACTGGACTTAACAGTCAGGGGTCCCTTTACCTTTACCCTTCTGCCCAGTTGCTAGGTCAAGTGACTGAGCGGAAAGGAGTTTGGAGTAGGGGTAAATCTCCCCCCCCCAACCGCCCTATCCCACCTCTGCCGTCAATCCAGGATGATTTCCCCCCCCCCCCTTAACGTACCCTGGCCTTGGCTGCGCCCGCTGGGATGAGGGTCTCTAGCCCACCGAGCCCACCAGGGAGCATCTCTCTCAAGTATAACATGCAAGAGGCAGGTTTCCAAAATGCAACTTGAGAAACAAAACAAAAAAACACAACATTTCTTTCTTAGTTGTCAAGACCCCAAAGGGCAAAACACAATCAGTCTGGCTAGGGGTGGCTTATGCTTTCTGTAGAGAGGAGGATGCCAGACAGCCGTCAGCCTTCCTTCCTGAAAAATATCTCTCATAAAGCCTCCCCAAATTTGGTAAATATGTTCTCTTAAGGAACAGGAAGGAAATCTTTCGAGGATTTCCCCTTCAATTTCACCAAGTTGCCAAGAATAATAGGCAGAGTCATCGGGAAGTTTATCCCGCTAACCACAAGCGGGGTCGTTCTGGAAAACAGCCCCCAAGGAAGATAACCATGTGTGTTAATTGCCATATGATGTATTTTGTATTCTCCCTTTCCTTTTATTTACACAGGCTTTAAGCAACCTGTTAAATTCTCTAGACTGGCAAAACCTCTCAGTGCACGCTGCCTTGTGGCGAGTGCCCACAGGTTAGCAAAATGCCCCCACCTGAATAAGCCTTGAGCAGTTCACATCCACAAGCACCTTCTTCTTCTTCTTCTTTGGTGATCCCTCGTAGCCGAGTAACATTGTCTTTCATAAACACAGTTTTAACACTGCGTCCGTAAGTGACTGTGGAGGCCAATTCTTGATCCATTCGTCCTTCCACAGTGGGGACATTGGTTCCCGGGTAGGAGTTGATCACGGTGAGGGTTTGCCAAGCGTGCCTTCCTCTTAGCGCGTTTCTCCCTTGCGTCCTGAGTTCGAGCGTCTTCAAAGCCCATGACACCTTTGGTAAAGGCTGTTCTCCAGCTGGAGAGGTCGCAGGCCAGTGTTTCCCAGTTGTCAGTGTTTATACTACATTTTTTTAGATTTGCCTTGAGAGGGTCTTTAGACCTCTTTTGTTGACCACCAGCATTACGCTTTCCATTTTTAAGTTCGGAATAGAGTAGTTGCTCTGGAAGACGATCATCAGGCGTCCGCACAACATGACCAGTCCAACAAAGTTGATGTCGAAGAATCATTGCTTCGACACTGGTGATCTTTGCTTCTTCCAGTACACTGGTATTAGTTCACCTGTCTTCCCAGGTGATGTGTAGCTTGGCTGGGGAACCTCTGTGTTTACATAGCAATGACTCCACAGACCAATGGGCCAATGCTGTTCAAGGCAGCTTTGTAGGCTGATGGGACAAACTGCAGTTCGTTCAGGTTCCTGGGACTTGTAGCTCCCTATAGGGGTGAACTGCAGTTCCCAGTAGTGTCTACACTGACTTACAGCAGCTCTCCAGGGTTTTAGGCAGGGACTGTCTCCCAGCCCCACTCAGAGATGCCTGCAGGAACTGATCCCGGGACCTTCTGCTTTTCTCCTATGGCGTTTCCTGCCGCAGTGTTGCTGTTCTCATTTTTTGTTATTGCTGCTGCCCCCGCCTATTATATTTCCAAGGATGGTTATATAAGGCTGAATTTCAGCCAGGTGTAACGTTAGCACAGGCTGAGAGAGGTTGGGCGTGATTTCCGCACTCCTGCAGGCAGTGACCTGAAGCAAATGTCTTGTATAACGTAACGCCAGACCCCTCTTCTTTCCCAGCTATTCTCTGGGGGATTAGCCTTACATTTAATGTAGCAAGATGCACAAAAGGAGAGCTTTCTGGGTACCAGTCCACATCTTGCAGCGAAAGGGCTGGATGAAGTGAATCGCAAGGCCACAGCGTATTTTTATTAACCGTAGCGCTTGGGGTTGTGGGTATCAACCTCAGAAATGGGGGCGGGGACCAAATTCCTTGCCCAGCAGATTCCTTAACCTGCACTTTCCGCCACGTTTCAAAGTCTTGCAAGACATTGGAGAGAAAATGAAACATCCTTTGTGAAGGTTAGCAACATCTGGGAATAAAAATGTTATGTACTGAGTTGAATAGGATTCAGAATGCAGCAGTCTGATTGGTCCTGGAACAATAGGATCCAGAATGCAGCAGTCTGATTGGTCCGCAGGAGCCACCCAATCCAACTCCGGGTGGAAGTGAATCCGCAACCTGATTGGCCTACAGGAGAATCCTGGAATTAGGCAATTACGTGGGGCCAATTGTGTAAATCAGCAGACATTTTGGGGGAACTTCCATTCCCTCACTCTGAGCTGAATAAAGAGCATGAAATCCACACTCGACTCCGAGTATATTTCAAAAAACGTGAGGCTTTTGCAGGCTCCTGGCCTCGTAACCAAAGAGCTAACAAGCTGCAAATAAATACTTTGCCCAGGACACTTAACTTTATTTTCGGCCGACTAAGGGGCTCGTTGTTTTCACACTTAAGCAGTTTTTAATTAAAAAGCGGCTTCTGTTCCTTGGCTGTGGCAGAGCCTCTTCTGCCACACACACTGCTTCTGGATTTGCCCTCCTCCACTCAAACGCCACGGGAGCCGTGATAGCACTCAAAAGTAAACAGGAGATTCATTTGGCTACGGCCCTCGCTAGATTCGTGTCCACCTCCTCTGTTTTGTAATCTGCTTATTAGATTCTTATTGTCGGAAAGGATTACCGTTATGAGCTGCAGGAATTCCTTACTTTTCCCCCGCCGGCAAGGTAGCAGAGTGTGTCTTCTTCCTTGCTTTCTTCCACCTCGCCCACCCGAACACTAAAATTCTGACTTTCTCTCCCTTTCCCCCCCTTCCGCCCGACCCTCCCCTTCCCCTCCGCCCGCCACCCCGGGCCTCCTCCCCTTTCTTCTCTTCCACAGAGATTTGCGCCGCGGACTGCGGAGGGCACGGCGTCTGCGTCGGAGGCACCTGCCGCTGCGAGGAAGGCTGGATGGGTGCCGCCTGCGACCAGCGATCGTGTCACCCGCGTTGCAACGAGCACGGGACGTGCCGGGACGGCAAGTGCGAATGCAGCCCGGGCTGGAACGGAGAGCACTGCACCATTGGTAGGGGTAGGGGGAGAGCGCTTTCGACTACGGGGGAAACCCACGCGGAAAGGGGTAATCGGTGGGGTGGTGGGGCGGAAGGAGGGGTGGAGGAACTGGGTGAAAGGAGCATGCTTAATCGAACTGCCGCGACATCCCCACAGCATGCACACCCCCTTCCTTCCGTTCCTGGATTTCCATGTTCCAGTGTCATACATTCCCATGTGCGGCGCTCCCCATCCCGCAGCCCCCAACCAATGTCCTTTGACGCTTTGCCCATGCTCAAGCCAGGGCCATGCTCAGTCTCCAGCTACTCCACACAAGCCCAGAAAGGGGACACAGGGTGGTTGGTACAGACACACAGCCCAGCACCCCCAAGAGTCTCCTCTGAAGGTAAAGCTTCAGAGCGCATAGTAATTATTTAATCATACATACATACAGTGGTACCTCTGGTTACAAACTTAATTTGTTCTGGAGGTCCGTTCTTAGCCTGAAACTGTTCTTAACCTGAGGTACCACTTTAGCTAATGGGGCCTCGGCCTCCCGCTGCCATCGCACCACTGGCGTGCGATTTCTGTTCTCATCCTGAGGTAAAGTTCTTAACCCGAGGTACTACTTCCGGGTTAGCGGAGTCTGTAACCCGAAGTGTTTGTAACCCGAGGTACCACTGTAACGTACATACATACATACATACATACCCCGCCCATCTGGCTGAGTTCCCCCAGCCACTCTGGAGGGCTCCCAACAGAATAATAATAATAATAATAATAATAATAATAATAAAGTAATAAAACATCAAACATTAAAGACTTCCCTAAACAAAAGTGACCAGAAACAGCCTAGCAGCCTAGATACGGGGCGCCTCGGGGGGAATTGTTTCCCATTATAGGGAAAATACAGTAAATTATCCAAAATGGGGAAATAATTGCTCCCTCCCCCCCATAATGCATCTAAATTGCAAGATTCAGGTTTTTCCCCCAAACTGAATTGAGGGATCCAAGCTGACATGGCGCGTTGGGGTTCCACCCCCCTTCTTTTAGCCTCAGATTTCCTGGGGACTTCACCCTCTTCCTTTCTCTCAGGAGAACAAGTCAAGAAACAAAAGTGCCTCATCTAAACATTGCTGACAGCTTATCGCCAAAGCCTGAAACTTACCAATAAGTGGAATAGAGGGAGCCACGAAAGTGCTCCGTTTTCAAATTTAAAACCCCCAAGACCTGTTCTTTGCCTGTTTCACTCCACCGGCTTGTTGAGCATACTTCTTCCATTGAGTATTCATTGAGTTGGGCACAAGGGCTTATTTCACTTTTACAAGAGACAAAGAGAGTTTGCATAGGATTTGTTCTGTACCTCCTAATCAGCTGTATGCAAGCCTACTCTGGCTGGCTGTAAAAACCATTTAGGCTTCTTCTGGGGGGGGGGGAGATTCCTAGCATTTCCTGCAAAGGGAACCTGGAGCTTATAGTTAGAAAACTGACTTCTGCCACAGGAAATGATGCACGAGAGTAGTTTTCAGCTAAGGAGAAGTCTCTCCTGGTGGAGGTGAGCCTTCCTTGCTGCATTACTCAAGAGAAAGTCTTTCTTTTCTTAAAAAAACTCAAATGCAAGTGAGGTTTTTTTGAGCCTGAAGAGCTGCACGGGATAGGGGCCTTAGCAACAAGATGTGGCCTGAAAAGCAGCCAGATTTTTCAAATGGGAGGACTCACAGTATCAATAATAATAATAATAATAATAATAATAATAATAATAATAATAATAATAATAATAATAATAAAATTTATTGTACCCCACTCATCTGACTCAGTTGCCTGGCTTCCAACAAAGTATAAAGGAAACACACCAAAACTTCAAATATTCTAAGCTTCCCCAAACCGGGCTCCCTTCAGATGTCTGTAAAAAGTCATGTGATTGTTTATCTCCTTAACATCTGATGGGAGGGCGTTCCACAGGGTGGGTGCCACTACCGAGAAGGCCCTCTGCCTGGTTCCCTGTAACTTTGCTTCTTGCAGTGAGGAAACCAGCAGAAGGCCCTCGGAGCTGGACCTCAGTAACCGGGTTGGACAATGGGGTTGGAGATGCCCATTTATTTCTACACATCCCTTTCTTCCAATTTCCAATTTCCAATTTATTATTTATACCCCGCCCATCTGGCTGGGCTTCCCCAGCCACTTTGGGCGGCTTCCAACAAAATATTAAAATACTGTAATGCATCAAACATTAAAAGCTTCCCTAAACACTTTGGAACCCAGGGCAGTATTTGAGACTGCCCTGTTTTAAGTCTTTGTTGTTGTTGTTGTTGTTTAGTCGTGTCCGACTCTTCGTGACCCCATGGACCAGAGCACGCCAGGCGCTCCTGTCTTCCACTGCCTCCTGCAGTTTGGTCAAACTCATACTGGTAGCTTCGAGAACACTGTCCAACCATCTCATCCTCTGTCGTCCCCTTCTCCTTCTGCCCTCCATCTTTCCCAACATCAGGGTCTTTTCCAGGGAGTCTTCTCTTCTCATGAGGTGGCCAAAGTATTGGAGCCTCAGCTTCAGGATCTGTCCTTCCAGTGAGCACTCAGGGCTGATTTCCTTCAGAATGGAGAGGTTTGATCTTCTTGCAGTCCATGGGACTCTCAAGAGTCTCCTCCAGCACCATAATTCAAAAGCATCAATTCTTCGGCGATCAGCCTTCTTGATGGTCCATCCTTTATGGTTTTAAGTCTTACATGCTGCCTTTTCTACTCTGAACACTTAAAATGAGGAGCTGGTGACGGTCCATGTTTAGCAGGATAAATCGTAGAGTTGGCGGGGACCTCGGGGGGTCATCTAGTCCAACCCCCTCCAATGCAGCATGGTCTGTCAAGGATGTAGGGAGAGAGAAAGAGAGAGAGTTTTTTCACACAGACACCTTTTTCTCCACCACCTAGAAAGTCTTCCCAGTGGCTCTGCACAGTTTTGTCCATAGGCTCATGAACACAATAGTCACTGAAAAAGCAAGCATTACACCACCATAAAAATCCAATATTTGGGGGATGGGAGTGGTGAGAGGAGTAACAGAACTGGCACATGTGAAAGGACATTGGCATGGAAGGTCATTGTGTGTAGCAAGCATCCCCCTCATCCCAGTGTGATTTTTCTGCATGGGCACATGCATCGTGGACCATAAATTGTCGTTACATCTTGTCTCCCTGCCTGCTTTATCCCTGATAAAAATGGTGTCATCCACCCCAACCCCTCCTTCCCGCCCCCAAAGTGGCTGAACCCCCATCCTGACATCTGCGCAGATAACATTGCTAGGAGTCTCTGGCAGAAGCGGGAGAGGTTTCTCCTTAACGTTCGACCAGGGTTTCCCAAACTTGGGTCTGCAGTTAGACTACAGTTCCCATCATCCCTGACTGCTGGACTTGCTAGCTAGGGATGATGGGAGTTGTAGTCCCAAAACAGCCGGAGACCCAACTGATTGCAATGATTTAAGCAGAAATGCAATGCACCTCCCAGTACGGAGGGAGACAGTGACCAGGTGAGTTTCGTACCTGGTCAGTGTGCTGCCTAGATGCTTAGACTCATAGACTTGTAGGCTTGGAAGGAACCCCAGGGGTCATCTATTCCAGCCCCCTGCATTGCAATAACCCTGCCCTGAGTAGGTGTGAACCACCAGTCTCCTGATTAACAGCGTGCTGTTGATGGACAGAGTCTGGGCCTCTCCTGCTTTCCTTTATTAGGGTTTCTCCTTTTATTTATTTTCTTGCACTGTCCTGCAACCTACTGAGCCAATTCATGTTTTGCCTGGTCAGTTAGCCATTTATTACTTCCTATACCTTTCAACCAGATTGGGACTGGGCTAATAATAATAATAATAATAATAATACGTTTCCAAACACAATTCAAAGTGTTGGTGCTGACCTTTAAAGCCCTAAACGGCCTCGGCCCAGTAGACCTGAAGGAGCATCTCCACCCCCATCGTTCTGCCCGGACACTGAGGTCCAGCTCCGAGGGCCTTCTGGCAGTTCCCTCTCTGCAAGAAGCAAAGCTACAGAGAACCAGGCAGAGGGCCTTCTTGGTAGTGGCGCCTGCCCTGTGGAACACCCTACCACCAGATGTCAAATAGAACAACAACTACCAGACTTTTAGAAGACATCTGAAGGCAGCCCTGTTTAGGGAAGCTTTTATTGTTTGATGTATTACAGTATTTTAATATATTTTTTGGAAGCCGCCCACAGTAGCTGGGGAAGCCCAGCCAGATGGGCAGGGTATAAATAATAAATTATTATTATTATAATTATTATATTATTATAATAAGGAAGCATCCAACCATGCAATCTCCCACCTTAAGCAGCCTTAATAGGAGGGGTGCATCAAGAATTGCACAGTATTATTCTGCGGGCCCCACAGCCTGGCTCTTCGCTGCAAAAGGATGGCAGATTCTCCCAGAGACTGCGGTGGAGACCCAGGTAACTTGGGTTGCCTGGATAAGGCTCTGAACCTGTCGGGCGTTTCCTCCTGGCAGTGTTTCCCAGGTGCTTCCATTCTCCTTTATCCTTGAGCGAATGTTCTGAACCGCCAGGCGATGGCTGAGGTTGCCCCATCCCGAAGCCAAGTCATCAATCTCCGCACCTCCTCGCTTGCAAATACGAATCTCATGCTTCTGCCTGCCCGTTTAAACATACTAGAGTCTAGACTCGAAAGTGGGGGGGGGATGCGCCAAAAAAATTCTTTCGGAGGTCACGGCCCTTCTAGTTGGGTGGTCTTGTCTGAGCCAGTGCAGGAGGGGCGGGGTGGAGGGGGGGGAGAATAAATGGAAAATACAAGGCGTCGTTTGAGAGCCAGATTGGAAGGAGCGTGGGAATGGTGCCCAAATTGGAGCAGCAAGCTTTGCCCGGTCCTTACTTGGACGGCGTTTTAAATAAGAGCAAAGAGCTCGGCAGGATGAGAGCTTTAGCCGAAAATATCTCACCCCACCCCTCCCCAGAAGCATCCCCCAGCCCCCCCCCCCAACTTCTGAAGTTGTCGACTGCTCAGAAGAAAAGGAGATGTTCAGTCACCCCATCGGCTAAATTTCCCGGGGGTTCTTTTATATTTCCGCCACTCTCGCTCTGACCTTAAGCCAGCCATTTAAACTCTCTTTTCTTCTGCCGAGTCCCTTTATATCGTCGTGGTATTTGCCCTGCCCCTTTGGCGAGGTTAATCCGCAAAGTCAAAGCAGTTGGCTTCAGGCTGTACCGGCGAGGGGGGGCACCCTGGTTCAATGCCCCTCTTAAGAGACGGTGAGCGCAAGCACAAAGAGTGGGAGGAATTGTCTGACAACTATGGAACACACTTCAAAACTTACTCCTGCTTTTGCCATAAATTGGCCTAGGGGCCCATGGCGATCGCTTATTTCTGAATTTTATCTACCACCTTGCCGCCACCCCCATAAGTTGTCACTTTCCTTGTTGCATGTGTGGCACCTGTTAGCCAGGGACCTGGATGAGACCACCCCAGCTGTGAGATGGAGGGGAGAATCTGTGCCTCCCTTGGCTTAGCAGAGATTTTGAAGGGTCCGCTCAGTGTCTGGGTTGCGAGATGACATCACCAGTTGTGACCACTGTGATAGACAGCTGGTCAGTCAAAATTCAGAACACTCAGGCTTGGTTTGTTTTCCCTTTCCTTTTTTTAGTGCTGATTTTTTTAGTGCTGATTTTTTTAGTGCTCTCTAGGGAAAAGGAAAGGGACGCGGGTGGTGCTATGGGTTAAACCACAGAGCCTAGATCTTGCCGATCAAAAGGTCGGCGGTTCGAATCCCCACGACGGGATGAGCTCCTGTTGCTCGGTCCCTGCTCCTGCCAACCTAGCAGTTCGAAAGCATGTCAAAGTGCAAGTAGATAAATGGTTACCACTCCAGCGGGTAGGTAAACGGCGTTTTCCGTGCGCTGCTCTGGTTCGCCAGAAGCGGCTTAGTCATGCTGGCCGCATGACCCGGAAGCTGTACGCCGGCTCCCTCGGCCAATAAAGTGAGATGAGCTCCACAACCCCAGAGTCGGCCACGACGGGACCTAATGGTCAGGGGTCCCTTTACCTTTACCTAGGAAAGAGGTAGAATATTCAGACTCTGTGCTGCTTTCCTGTCTCAGGACTGAAGCACTCACGACCCACTTTTCTGATTTTACTTTTGGCACACATTTACCACCTCACATTTCCATAGAGTTGGGAGGGACCCTGAGTACAATCTAGTCCAACCCTCTGCCATGCAGTTGTCCCGTATGGGGATCAAACCTCCAACCTTGGCATTATCGGCACCACGCTCTAACCAGCTGAGCTATTTGTCTCTTATGAAATGCTGATCATTGAAAGGTTCAGAACTAAAACTGGGCTTCCTGCAGTAAACTGGCAGGAAGCTAGATTGTAAACTCCTTACGGGAGAGACCTGGCATTTTCGCTGGTGCTACTGAACATAAAGCAGCACATACAACAATGGCACTGCACGAACTATTAATTACACAGAAAATGAATTTTTGGGGGGATTCCCAGGTCCTTGGAGCTGGCGGCTGGTCTTTTCCGCTTTACATTACCCCATAAAGCACCATGTGCATTGTTGATTCCCTCTGAATGAATGATAGGCAGGCAGGAGGGAAAATGAATTTAGCAGCAGCCATGGCCAGAGGTTGCTATAGCCGTGAAAAGGCTCGCAGGACCTTCAGGCTGGCTGCCATTTATTCTGACCTTATTACCCGCAGCACCCAGAATAAATAAACAGACCTTTTCGCCATTCCTTGACTGATGGTATTGGTACTGTCCCCTCCTTCCTTGCCACTTTTCTGCTTCTCCTTAACAAAGGCTTGGTCTCCTGTTGTTGTTGTTGTTGTTGCTGCTGATGTCGTCGTTTTCCCCCTTCCCCAACCTCTGACCCTCCTCCTCTCCTTCCCGGCGCCTCTGTTAACACTTCTGCACTGTCTCGTACTAAGCTGTACTGCACTTGACTCAACCCTACTTTACATGTCCTGTCTTTTATCTCCCAAGCTCACTATCTGGATAAGGTAGTGAAAGGTATGGTGGTCTTCCTTTCCTCTTTTTTCTCCCTCGTTTGTCTCTGTGTTTGAAACCCAGATAGACAACCCTCCCCATTTGTTTGCACGCACCCGAGTCAATAAATTAGATGGCATCTTTTCTCCATGTTCACAAGCGCTCTCACCTAATGTATGAAAAGCTTGGCTTTTCAGGCATTTAGGCTGAACGGAGGGGGAATGTTGTTGTTTTTTGCAACTTCCATCAAGTCATATCCATGTTTCCTCTATCCTACCCATTCCATCTCTCCTTCCCACCTAGCCAAGTTATTTGGGGGTGGGGGTGGGAATAGCAGCAATTACTGCATCAGCATGTGGTTAATAATAATAATAATAATAATAATAATAATAATAATTGTATGGCCCAAGAGGTGGAGACACAGGTGAGTGTGTTTGATGTACGAAGTCTCTTGGTTTTCAATTTGAAACTAGTAATCTTGACTGTAGCAAAATTCAGCGGGGCCAAATCTGTTAGGTTTCTGTTTGTGCCACTGTGGAGTGCTTGGAGTCACAAGACTCTGTTTACATTCCAGAGATTCCAGACTGTTGGAAGTCTCACGGGAGACGGATGTTGATATTACTGGTTTCCTGTTTCTTTGTAATAATAATAATAATAATAATAATAATAATAATTTTTATTTATATCCCGCCCTCCCCAGCCGAAGCCGGGCTCAGGGCGGCTAACAACAATCAAATAATCAAACAATCAAATAATCAAACATTCTAAAAACATTTCAATTATAAAAATTAATTAAAATCAAATTGATGGCAACCGTTAAGCAAAATTCTGTGCAGGTTGCCAGAGGAGGGAGTCAGGCTGCGCCCTGACCAAAGGCCTGGTGGAACAACTCTGTCTTGCAGGCCCTGCGGAAGGATGTCAAGTCCCGCAGGGCCCTAGTCTCTTGTGACAGAGTGTTCCACCAGATTGGAGCCGCAGCCGAAAAAGCCCTGGCTCTAGTTGAGGCCAGCCTAACCTCTCTGTGGCCTGGGACCTTCAGGATGTTTTTATTTGCAGACCGTAGGTTCCTCTGTGGGGCATACCAAATAAAACTCTTAGCAATGTAGCTCATAGCAATGTAGCTCATATTTCTTGTCCTTCTGCTGCTTGTATACTCTGTGTAATGAGGGAATGTGCCTGGAGCCTCATCAAAGGCTCAGGTTGTCAATCACTGTCGGAGGACTCGACCGGAGGAGTAGTTCGGCCGAACGCAAGTTCCGACAAAATCCCCAAGTGAAGTTGACCCGTTGATGCATTTATGATACGTACTATAGGTCAGGGCTAGAGAACAGTTGGCCCTGCAGATGTTTGCTGGGCTCCAGTCCTCATCATCTCCTAAGCACCAGCCATGGTGACAGGGGCTGATGGCAGCTGGAGTCAAGGAATATCTGGACTGCACTGTGTCGGCTAAGATTTCTGGGTGATATGCTACCTGCCCCATGGACTGCATCAGAGCATGTCTTTTTGCTATCTTAAAAAGCAGCGAGTGAACCTGCTTACAAACGGGCCAGTTCACACCATGCAGCAGTTTGCGTGGACTTGCAACTGGGTGTCCGGGTGGGTCACAGTTTATACAAAGTGGCTAAATTCAATACCAAGTTGCAATGAAAGAAAGGCCAGCATATTTTGAATGCATTCGTTGGCAGTTCATCCGTTGCTGGGTTATTTGTGGGGCATAGGAATTCATTTCCCCAATATACCCCCCACAAGGTCTGAAGGACAGTGGACTGGCCCCCTGCTGAAAAAGTTTGCTGACCCCTGCCCTACACCATGCCTGGTTTTATAAGGTTCACGTCCCCGATCGCTTCTCGTCTTTTCTTAACTAAATGGTGGTTGTGGTTGGTGTGCATTGTGACTGCTGGTGTGAAGGCAGGGAGACCATCAGTAGGTGGAGCAACAGCCAATGACAGGCGGATCCACCTCCCCTTTTGTTGGCACCCGTCTTGACTCAAGAGACAATGGAGTGCACCTCCGGGGTGAAGTCAAACAGCTGTGTTAGCAGCACCAAACTGACCTCCCTGGGGCCTAAGCTTGGGCAGTGTGTCTGGAGGCCCTAGGCTGCCCAGACGACAAGACCTCCTCTCGGCCTTTCTCCAAAGGAAAGCAGAGCAAGACTTTCGGCACCAGCTTGGCTGTAGAAGTTGCTGGAAGGAGGCATACAAGGCACAGTCCAACCGTCTTAGGGACTCCACTCTGGATTTGTGTAGAGTTGACTCCTTAGCCTTGTCTTCTCTTGAAGATATCCCTCAAGGCAGCGGAGGTTTAGGATGAGCGGCTAACAACAATAAAAGTAAAACAGCATTCTAAAGTCAATTCATTCTAAAATTAATTCAAATCAGATTAATGGCAACCATTGGGCTAGAGTTCTGTCAGGATTACCAAAGGAGGGGGTCAGGCTGTGCCTTGTCCAAAGGCCTGGTGGAACAGCTCTGTCTTGAAGGCCCTGCGGAAAGATGTCAAGTCCCGCAGGACCCTAGTCTCTTGTGACAGAGCATTCCACCAGATTGGGGCCACAGCCAAAAAAGCCCTGGCTCTGGTTGAGGCCAGCCTAACCTTGGCCTGGGATCTCCAAGATGTTTTTGTTTGAAGACTTGTAAGGTCTTCTGTGGGACATACCAGGAGAGGCAGTCCCGTAGGTACGAGGGCCTTAGGCCATATAGGGCTTTAAAGGTTAAAACCAGCACCTTAAACCTGACCCTGTACTCCACCAGGTGCCAGTGAAGTTGGTAAAGCACCAGGTGAATGTGATCCCACGGTGAGGACCCCATAAGGAATCTCGCCGCAGCATTCTGCACCCGCTGGAGTTTCTGGGTCAGCACTAATGAACTAGCCTCTATTTCTGAAAAAGCGCTCAAACATGGAAGCTTTTCCACTGCTTGTGCACACAGGCACACACAAACACACACACAGACCCCAACACAAAACCCACCCGAATCCCCACTTGAGAGAAACGTTGGCTCACAACCAAGCTGGCATCTGTCCCCACAAACAAAAAGTAGAGAGCCGCTTTTCAAATAAATCCATCAAAATTAAGTGAGAATGAGATTCAGGCCTCCGTGCTTTTAAGCGAGGTTTTGTTTTCAGCCTTCGAAACCACACACTTTCTAAAATGTCTCACCCCCACCCCCCAAAAAAGCCGTAAAAAGACTGTTCCAAAGTCAGTCTTCGTCTTTCAAGACTCTCCTGGGTTGGGAGCCGCACTTTATTAATTTAATTTATGGAATTATAGCTGCAGCAGGAGAGAGAGATACATATATGCTGGAGAGTACTGCCTGCCATTTCGAAACGTGTTGCTAATTATGCACATTATACGCAGAGGCCACAGGCAGCAATGCTTTCTTGTTATGGCTGTCAGGATGGCAGTAGATTTGATTGACTTGGACAAGCGCATCCTTTTGAAACTGCAGTGGTACTGCTGCGCATAGTTGTGAGGCCGGTGTGTGGGGAGGGTGCTGTTAAGAAGGCCCCCTGCCCCACTAAAAGCATCTGACGGTAGGTTATTGGCTACAGAGCAAAACCAGGTCGCTTCCCCTTTATATCAATGCGTAGGCCTGCAACCCCATGCAATCAAACTTGGGAGTATGTCCCATTTAATTCAGTGGGGCTTCTTTGTGAGAAAACGTGCTTTGGATTGTGTTGCTGGTTGGTTAATCTGTCCCTCTAGAGCAGTGGCGTAACGTGGGGGGTGCAGGGGGGGCCGGCCACACCAGGCGCAACATTTGGGGTTAGGGCAAATCCATGGGTTAGGGGGCGCAAATCCACGGGTTAGGGGGCGCAAATTACTTGCCTTGCCCCGGGTGCTGACCACCCACGCTACGCCACTGCTCTAGAGACTACCTTAAAGTAAAGGTACCCCTGCCCGTACGGGCCAGTCTTGACAGACTCTAGGGTTGTGCGCCCATCTCACTCAAGAGACCGGGGGCCAGCACTGTCCGGAGACACTTCCGGGTCACGTGGCCAGCGTGACATCGCTGCTCTGGCAAGCCAGAGCTGCACACGGAAACGCCGTTTACCTTCCCGCTAGTAAGCGGTTCCTATTTATCTACTTGCACCCGGGAGTGCTTTCGAACTGCTAGGTTGGCAGGCGCTGGGACCGAGCAACGGGAGCGCACCCCGCCGCGGGGATTCGAACCGCCGACCTTTCGATCGGCAAGCCCTAGGCGCTGAGGCTTTTACCCACAGCGCCACCCGCGTCCCCAGAGACTACCTTACACTGTGTTTAAAACCAAAATCGCATTTGGATAGCAACTGTTTCTCAGGCAGCTAGTCCTAGTCTTTATAACCCTATACCTTCTTCCAGAATGCAGAAGCTGGAAGAGATCATTTCCAGGGTGCGCACTATCCTGCGCTATCTCTGCAGCTTTCTTATGGCACCTGGAAGCATAGATTTTGCCTGGTCCGACATCCTGTTTTCCACAATGACCAGCAAGTTGTCTATGGGTAGCCTACGAGCAGGACAGAAGGACGACCACATTTCTTGGCTCTTGTTCCCCACCAAGTGGTACTGTTGTAAACCAAAATTGCCCTTTTGCCTTATGGGGTATCCAAGAGTCCATATAGGTTCCCTATTGATAGGAGAAAATAACACGAGGCCAACCAGAGAATATTGAGAAGCAAAGCAGCTAGTAAGCCTGATCTTTATGGATCAGTTGCAACAGGGTCCTCACTCACCTCACGAAGGAGGGAGGAGGAACCCAGAACAATGGTGCGCAAGGCCTTATATGGACTTTTGAAATTGCCACCCTGTAGATCAAGACCACCCCTCCCTACATCATACATACATCACAGAAGGGGTGTAAACTAAGACCACCCCCCAGATACATCATACCTACTGTTAACGGAAATTCAAGGGTCCTCTTGGGCAAATGAAGACACCGACCAGAGCAAGTCAGAGCAAAACAGCAGCCAGTAGGCTCGGTCTTTATTTAGAAAGACTGTCGCGACAGGACTCCCACCGCCCACAAGGTGAAGCAAAATGGAAGCCT